CACAGGTGAACAGACCTCAAAACGACAAATAATACACCACCAAACCACAAATTCGTATCACTAGTTGTTGTTCTTTATCAAGCTACAGCCTTCCAAAAAACTGATACCTACATATGGTTTTCAAGGGTTTCCTTATATCATCTACTGCAATAGAAAACCTCTCGATTTCACCCACTAACAAAAATCCTATTCTCTGAAACAGAAACAGTAAAAGAACTCAGTGATGCTACATTGTAATTCCGGCAGAAAAAAATCCTTAGTGGGAAAAATATACCAGACCGAAGAAAGCAGAGGGAAAAAAACAAAGCCATCTTCAGAATTTAACTCCCACTTTCCCTGCGTAAAAGACTCAGCAACACCCTACAACATAGTAAAGGGGAGTAATACTGACGATAAATAGATCGCTATTTTAAAATGCTTTTACGAAAAAAAAAGAGTAATAAAAAATGAGTCAACTTAGCAAACGATTTAAAACCCATTTCTGACTAATACTATCTTAAACCTAACGAAAAAAAACTTAGCAACTAAATAAGCAAACACTTTTTTGCAGTAATATCCTCCTCCAAAACAGAAAATTTGAAAGCAATAGTGGGATGATCGAATTCTGAGTGACCGTTAGCACCTACTTCAGTAAGCGATAAAGCAATAGCCCTTGCTAGATCTTCATCCTCACGCTGATCATCCCTTATAGGATCATTCTGGGCTGCTAATGCAGGGTCTACCGGACACTGTTTTAAAACTTCATCTGCTGTACAGTGCGGTAACTCGCCTTCGACGACAAAAATTGAATATCCTAAACCATACATTTGAATAGACACAAAGAAACTGCTTCTAATTACCAATTCTTTCCAAACAGAAAAACCCTTTTAAAAAACCCCTATTATAAAAGCGTAGGAAATCACCTTCATTTGCCAACTGCGCTAGATATATACTTAAATACATGTCCGTAATCAACTTCGGAGAGGAAAGCAACGAATTGAGTTTGAACCACTGGAAACCGAAACGCCGAAGGGTAAACCAATGTTCACTTAAATTGCATATATATGCCCGGCCACGGCTGCAAAATGGAATCTAAATGAAACTCCAGCTTCTTCCAATAATTAGAAATCTGATTTAATATAAAAATTAAAATTCATTTTTCCAACGTCTCTTCTAATAAAGCAAGTGAATGCTTTAAGCGATAACCAGCTCTCTGGGCTCTACAAGCCTACTAAGCAATTACGTTGGTTCTTTCCGGTACTCCGCAGCTGCAGGGCTAGATAACGCAACTAATTTCAGATCGAAAACCCGAAGCGCTTCTGCGATTACCCGAAAAAGAAAAAAAATAAGCTGCCTTCCAAATCATTAAAAAAACAGGGCTAAGCAAAGTAGTAGCAAATCAAAAAAAACACCTGCACCGAAAAATATCCAGAATCATCCATATTTTGACTGCATCCTGTGCTTTCCCCAAGCACCAATTTTTCTCTTTCATCAAGTTTACGGGCTATATCTGCTAAATCTACAGCAGTGAAGTAAGGTCCTTGAAGCAGCATGTTTAGCGCATGTTGAGCGCATAATGATGCCTCTTGCTATAAACACTCATGTAAAAAATAAGTCTCGTAAAAATTACAAACGAAGAGTCTCTCTGTATATTTTGGCCGTCGTCATTACTGTTACTAGCATTATTATTATTATTGCTACCGTTATTATTATCATTGTTATTATTATTATTGTTATTGTTATTATTATTATTATTGTTATCACTACTATTACTATTAATATTAATAGTATTATTCTTACTGTTAATATCATTTTTACTCCCGTTAATGCTACCATTACTAAACCAAACCAACCTTTTCGAAAAGTATTGAGTCCATGTTGCATTAAACTACACGGCAAGACACCGCGCTAACGACAACAAAGTGACAACCAAACACTGCAAGGAAAAATAACTAAGCAAACAGACCAACAACAAAGAATGAAAAACTACAAGGTCCAGGCATTACAAAATTTATACGATGAAGAGAAACGTTAACTTCAACAACTTACTTCCCATGCAATAATTTTCAATTACAGGTTGCGAATGTGCTGAGAAGCTACATCGTAAGGTTACATAAAGCAAATTTACAACTCAACAAGAAGTTTATTAACTTGCTTTTAAAAAAACAAATCAGATTTCAAAAATCCAAAAAATTTTCCGTATCACGTAAGATTACTCTTAGCAAAAAGGAACCCAAAACCTTTAGTCGGCAAAATAAAAACCACGCTCACTGCTGAATTGGGCGAATAAAGTCAATCTTTCAACGAATGATCTTTTCACTACACAGAACAACTCCAGCCTGATAAAAAAATATACAGAGCTGTCAGCAGAGAAAGCAGGCAGCATTAAAACCCTAAAAAATCAAACCTAAAAATAACAATGCTTTCTCCTACGGATTTTGATACTTAATCCCTCACCGCACTACTTTTCAACAGTTTACAGTTACTGATTTTGTAATAGCACACTTTGAAGCTGTAATAAAGGATCCTACAGCAATATTTATGCCGTCTATACCGCCGTTATGTAACGGCTAAAACACGCCATCAAAATCGGGGTGTTAAAAAAAGAATAACCAAGTATAACTTAGACGGTCTCTTTACAAGAAGATACTTAATTCAGCCATAACACTACAGATTATATATATATATATATATATATATATATATAT